CACACATGTGCATTCACAAACACATGCAAACCCCCAATTTAGTCAGAAGACTTGCGGATCTATCTGATCTACTAGGCAGGATATTCAGTCTGACCCTTTCAAATTACTTCCCATTCAAACAGCATCCACTGATTCCTGTCCTTAACGCTACTGTCATTTATTTCACTTTAAGAGCTTCCTCCAGCTTCCAGGAGCGGCAACCTGCTCTGATCCTTGGTCGATGTCTTTCATGCGAATGCATTGTGAAACATTACAGATATTTAATAATACCAAAAAGATGGACCTCATCCAAAGCTGATGAAGACTGACATAGCTCTGATGAAAGTCAGTTAGCTACATCGTGTTGCATGACTCAAGGCTCAGAAATGAAAACCTAGTTTTTGCAAGAAGATCTACAAAGAAGAGGATTTTTTTTAGCTGTACAGGGCCAATGCCTAATTTGATGAAATAAAGCAATCAAATTTATCTAGTGAGATTACGTCCCTAAAAACCCTGAAAGAAGCTTATAGGGCATAGTTTCTCTACATTTATTTCCCTTTCATATCCGTTGGCAACTGATCATTTTAAAATGGAAACTCCAATATGTTTGAGAAGAAAATTTGTAAACCTCTCTGCAGTCTTTACTGTGCTTTCCTGTCAGATAAACTCTATGTATAGAAAGTATTTGGAACCACATTTCTCTAGCAAAAGAGCAGGCATTAACGGCAATGATTTGAGTAGCACTGAGCTACTAACTGGAATTTGGAGGGGGAAGCAAAGCTACCATCCCTATTTATAGGAAAATTCCATTCTAAGCATAAATGTCTCTCACATTTTTAAACTATTTTATCACTTTTTTTCAGACTTTGCCTTTTACTATCCTGGCGTAACTTTTTTTTTGCAGCAGAGGGGAGTTTATTCACATCTTTTTTGACGGAACAGAAACCATCTGGATTTGGTTAAGAATTTGTTAGGATGCCCACAAAGCAGAGAGGAGTGTTGCAATTGCAGCTCCGTGTAAAACCTTTCCTCTGGTCTGAAACGCCTTACCTCTGTGGCTGTCAGACAATTTGTGCTCTCTGAAAATCTGTGCCTGCTGTTTTGATTTACTTATTTTGTTTTTTTCTTCCGTCAGAAAAGGTGAGGCAAACAAAACTGCTGAGGAAAGAGATAGGAAGAGCAAGGTCATAGTACAAGGCCAATGAAAAAAATCAATGCCTTTAAATAGATCAGGAAAAAATAATTAGGCATTTCCAGAGAGCTAATTAAAATTAATACAAATTTGCACAAAATATGTGAAAAAGATCACTGTTTTAGGTGCCGGGTTTCAAAATTCCCTGTTTATCAGCTAGGCCTGTGCTCACCATCTCCTTTCCAATCTACCAAACTGCCTCCCTAAGAGGTTTGGCATAGCATAATGCTTTAAAATGTACATAATGTTTTATCTATATATGATTTAAATGAAATTATGTCCATCACAAATGATCCAGCTGCTATAACAGGGTTTTATGTTTGTCATAAATTTTTAACATGTAAGAAAATGAATCAAAATGTACCTCCCCTATGGTCATTAAATAATAACTCTACATTGTCTATCATACTTAGGTATCCTATTTTAAAACTTTATGAAGAAAAGGGATGTAATTAGGTTGATGGATATTTTTGATGAGGGAATAGTAATGTCTTTTTCAATGATAATGCAAAAGGATGAAATTCCATCTAGTCATTTTGCTGACTTTATTACTCAGGCACTACACGAATGCAGTTTTGGGGAATGAACTGAAGGAGACTCAACTGAGTATTTTTTGGGGGGAAAAAAGGTGATTAATATAGTGGCGAGAGGTAAAGGCACATCTGATGTGCAGAACCTCAAACACTTCCCCATGTTGGGGTGAAGAGAAATGTAAGCAGAGTTTGCAAAAAAAGGACTGAAATGTATAAATTGTCTCTCTCCTTGTACTAACCACCCCAAAGATCTGTTTTTTAATGGTTTCAAGGAATAGGATTTGAGGGCAGTGTATCACTACTGTCTGGTTATCCTTTAAGTGCTATACAATAGATTGCAATGAGGTGGACTCATCTAATCTAACGTTGACACCTAAATGTTGCAGAGGGTTGGAGGGCCACACATCCTTAAATTTCTTTGAAAACCCATTGAATTTCCATGACCCTCGAATATGCCATTTGCAAAACAGGGAAATACTCCTTTATTTTCAGTGTGATAACTTCATGACTGCTTCTAAGGTGCCCTAATGTAGAACTGTGGGGCCTCATTAGAAAATGTAGGTGGAGCTTGCGGGGTTAGAAAGAGCAAGGTAGACACCATGCCACCTTTCTGGGAAGTTATATGCTTCCCACGAGGTTCAGAATCAAATCCATTGCCCATCCTCAGCGGACAGATGGTGAAGGAATTCACTGGGTGTCTTTCTCTATTTGCAAAGGCATTTATACCTGTGAAAGCTGGGGATTAAATGCAGCTGTTCTCCATCAAGAGTGTTTTATACATGGAAGCACCGATAGAAAAGGTATCTCAATTTGCTGAGCAATGGAGGATCCAGCCAGTTAAGTGTACATTGAGTTCCTAATAAACCGAACCCTTTCTTTGCTCAGGTGTGTTTTTATCTGTAGAGGTGGGAGTGAAGAACCGAGTCAAAAAATACAAGTTTTTTTATGCTTTAAGTAACGCAGTTATTTGATTTTCACACAGTTTACGCATTGTTCCAAATTAAATAGAAAGAATAAATAGGATCAGTTATGTGCAGAAGAAGGCACAAACGACCAGGCCTCAAAAATAATCTTTCTCCACTGAAATTAGCAGGAGATTTTCTGCCATCATTGTTGTTCAGTCACCTGAAACTTTTGAAATTCTCACCCTGAAAGTGAGAGAGGCTTGGGCAATATCAATTTTTTTAAAGACATATCTAAGTGACTAAACATAGGACTGATCTAGTGTTTAAAAACTTGAGATGCAAGTCTAAGCAGGCCATCAGAGCTCTCTTTGTAGTCAGTGAAGACAGATAGGCCTCTAGGAGACATTTCAGCTTAAAGCAGGTAACCAAGATCAGATGAATCACCGTTTATATGTATATATATATATATATGCATATATATTTAAATATTGTTATAAATGGAATACAGATGTATTAGAAAATTGTACTTCTTTCTCAGCATGAGAGCATTGCTGTCTTTCTCAGCATGAAGGTAACTGAAAAGTCTCACTCAAAGCCATCGGACATTTTTTGTATGTCTGCTTCATTTATTTAAAAAATGGAGGAAAAATTATACTAAATAGGTACGAAATGAAATTTAAGGAGGTAATGTCCTGAAGAGCAAAAATGTGTAACTTGAGACCCTAGGCAAATTTTTATTCTTAGGGGCAGAAGAAAGTAAAATAGGAATATGTGTGTATCCATTGAACACCTACTCAGCTACCCTAAAACTGTAGAATCCATGCTGGAATTATATACAATACGCAGTGCATTGCCGTTTGTAGGGTTATTACTATGATAGCTTTGAAAACCAAGGTTAATTTTTATTTTGCAGTTTTTTAAAGGTCAGGTTGCCTGTTACACAAATCAAAGAGTTGTTTTTAGACAATCATTTTTTTCTCAAGGCAGGATTGTGAAGTTTATTAATTAACTAACTAATTATAGTTAATAGATTATTTGGATGTTCATAGTTAAAGCTGATATTGCAAGAAAGTTTCTCAGAAATTCTCCTGTAAATTAAGAACTCCAGTGAAGAAACATCACCTTACCACTACAAGCTGGATATACTCTGATGATACGAACGGATATAATTATTTTAACTCTACAGAAGTTGTCCCTTTGAAGTTGTCATGATTAGCAAAGAAAATGATAAGTTTAATCACAAAGCGTTGAGACAATATACCTAAAACAATAGGTTGTATGTGGACTCTTTATGATGTATAAATGTCATATGGTTTCCATATGAGAGCAGTTGTGACCTCACCCCAATTGGAGACTCTTTTAGGGCCATATCCTTGAGCTTGATTAAATGAATGTGGTATTTTTGTGGAAAGAGAGCTTAAGCCTGCCCTAAGCTGGCAGCCGGAAGTGCACTGACAAGGCAGTCCTTGGTGTGCATCCACTGTGACCGATTTAAGCCCCAATTCCTCTTCCTTATGAAGTTTCTTCTGGTATGGCCAAGACTGACAACATAACTTCACAACACATACTAGATGACCCATCATTCAGCAACTTGTATGAGGTCTCCATTTTTTATGATCCACAGAGGGTGAAAATCTTCTATAAAACATACCTACCAAACATGGCCGTTTACCAAAAATGAGGTCCTTATTTCAGTATCAGCCATGCTAGCACATTCACATTAACACGGGTGAGTAACAGTAGATCCCAGGAACCCTTCCTAGCTAAATAAAAGCTGTAGTTTGTGGTCAGGAATTACTGAGTTTAAAAGCTGCTGGCAAGTTATTCTTGATGAAGTTTTAGCATATACAGACTGAATAACCAAACATCAGGGTTTATACAACCACAGTTTGTCCTCGTGCCTCAAATAACTTGGGATTGACCAACTGGTCAATATTTTGAGGTCTCAAAATATGAAACTCCATGGAAAAAAGGGGTAGCAGAGAGGGGCTCAGTTCCAGCCAAAGCAGAAATTCATCAGCTCTCCTTTCTGATCAGCCTCGTGGCTCAACCACTTGAGTTTCTGAGGGTTCACTCAGCACCATCGGAGAGCGAAGGACCTTTGTGCGGCTGGTGGCTGGGAGCAATGGCAGGGAGTGAGGGACTCTGGGAATGCGTGAGGACCTTGGAGGTACTGCAAAAAAGGTGAAGGTATACTGCAATGTCTCCACAGAGAAGTGGAGAGAGATGGGACACAAAATTGTGGGGAATCAGGCCTCATTAGTGTCACTGCACAAAGAATAGCTTGTTTTACCTTGAGAGAGACGCTGAGAGAAAAATGCTTCAGCTTTGTAGTGCAGGATTATTAGCAACGTCCTAAAATATACCAATTTGTCCAATTTTTATTTTCAGTTCCACTGATGTGCTTCGTGGACCTATTTCTAATTTGCAGTGGGGTAAGTAATAGCCGAATCTAAACTTCTCTGAGATCATGAGGAAAAAAGAGGTTTTTTCCCTGCATTTTTCTTATCCAATAGATTCTAATTATGACCCTTGACTACTTTGTAATGAAGTCCATGCAATTCTCCAGAGCAACCTGACCAGTGTAATAACATTGGGCTTTAATTTATATGTATTTTCTTTGGAGAACAGAATTGCTTTGGGGATTTTGTTACCCTTCTGCCATCAACTTTTTATATATAAGCATGTACAATTAAAAGTTTAAACAAAACCTGCATTTAATATTTTGAAAGCATTTTGGAACTCATTCTTTTAATGATAAACAGCTGAAAATGGGAAAATCCATGATGATTTAACTGGGACACAATTTGAAAAGAAAGAAAAAAATCAAAGTCGAACTATGTTATGTAAATTCACAATGCATATGTCTTTCAGCTAGACTTTGGCGTGCTAGCTCACTGACTTTGAATTTGAGAAGCTGCATTGGAGTTTCAAGCCTTTGGGGAACTTGTCTATATCTGAAAATAGTGTATTTTTCATAACAATATTCAAAACGGCACTTTACTCTTATATACCATAAAGCATTATATATTGCTGCCAATACCTGAACTAATTACTCCTCACTATACTCCTGTGCAACAGGACACTGTTTTTTGACAACATTTCCTCTCATCTTAATGTACCAAACAGAACTACTGGGAAAAACATCAGAAGGCATTATTCAGCTGAAATAATTGATTATAAAAAGAGGAAGCAGATATCAGCATTTCTCTTCCTTTCACTATCCATTTTTCTGTGCCAACATTCAATAAGATTAAAAATATTTCCTTTAAACCCAAAAGAAGTGAAAAAAACAAACAGATAAAAGTCATATTTTCTTGATAACTACATAAAATTGTTTTTGATTCCTTGGTTCAGGAATTAAGAATTTCAGTGAGTTTGTCCAATTTTTAATTTTGACTAGTTCACCTTTAACTGGAGATCCCAAGGATTCCTCTCTGCGGATTCCTTTCTGCTTTAGGCTGTGCTCTGACACAGTTGCAGCAGTAGCACAGATGACTATTACCACCTTGGGAACATTTTTATTCCAAACAAACATTCAGTGAAACAAATTAGAAGGAATTAAACTGAAAATTTATGAAAATTGCAAAGGACCCTTCCCTGACATGAGGAACAGGCTCAGTCTAATTCCTCACTTAACATTTCTTATTAGGCTTCGCTGTGCGTCTCTAGCATGTGTCAAGTGTGAAGAGAGGAGATTTACAATTTGGGACTGCAAGTGTAAACCATAAGCCTCGCTAGATCCTTGAATGTACTTGTGATTAAAGCACTAAATTGGATGCTCTGGCAACCCACGTTTGACTTCCAGGTCCATCATTAATTTTCAGTCATTCACTGATTAACTCAGTTCTCAGGTCATCTGTAAGGACTAAATAAGTTCCCCTCAACATTTACGTCCTGGAAAATCTCCTGGCACCCATTTTTCACTGCAGAGTTCCCAGCACGGCTGGCAGTGTCTGTGCCATCCCCAAAGCTGCCATCACCTCGGCAGGGCTCAGCACATCGTTGACAGTCTCAAGGTCAGTCTGTCCAAGACCTATCAACCAGGTCTTCCTTCATTTCATGTCTCTCGGGGCCTCATGTGATGGACACGCTCAGAAGGTACATGACGCACAGTGATGAAGATGAATTTCTGCACAAAACAGAGCAGTCAGGCGTTTTGCTGTGACACCACAGCAGGAGGAGGGAGTGACACCTGCCTTCACAGAGGATGCAGAAGGACGTGCAAGACTCAAGGCAGAGAACAAGGGAGAACTTGAGTCATGTGGGTCACATCCTGGAGCGGGAAACCCCTAGTTCCTGCTCCAGGGCCTGTTTAAGCATTTTGCCCAAAATGTGCTTGCTGTAACATAAAGACAGATGCTGGATCAGGAACCAAAACCAAGGATCCCTCATCACCCAGCTGAACTACCCACAGCTCTCTGCCATGGCCTCTGTCTCTCTGAACTCATATATTCTTCTGCTCATTAAGTTACATTACCAGCAAGTACCAGAGACGTGGATCCCGTGGGACCCTGCTGTGCTGGGGGACAGTAGGTGGGCCCAGAGGGATTATTTCACATTCAGCTCTTGCATTTAGCGACTTCAGTTTGCTTTAGCTATTACTTGATGCAGTGCTTTTGTAAAGTTTGGGGTATTGTGCGGATGCAGAGAGAAAGTTTTCTCTCACCAAGGAAATGTTTTCAATATCCTGCCATTATTATCTGAAATGATTCAGAGAGAAAAGCTTGTCTCACCCCTGCTTCATAACAACTTTGATGCTGAAGAAGGGACTTGTTGAAAATACCTAATTAAAGAGAGCAGAAAAGGGCAATGAATGAATTATCCCTCTAGTTTTATGAAGTCAAAAAATAATCAGTTCCAAATTGGGAAGTTCTCTTTTGTATAATTTTATAATTATAGTGGAGACTTACAGCAGCCTGCCCCTGGCATCAACTTTGTCTGCTATTTCATCACTTACACTTTAACGCTGTCTTTTCCTTTCTGTGCTAAGCAGGCAGGGATATTTCTTAATTTGGAAGACAGTCAGCATAAGTTGGTAAGAGGGCAGCAGTGAAGTTTTCAGAACTAGTAAGTATCTATGCATTGTCTAGGCGCTATGGTGCCTGAATGATACTTTCGAGCTCTTTGCTTTGGAACGGATGTTTTTGCGTGGTTTTACTAAGCAACTCAACCCAAAGGACAAAGGTGGCTTCAGAGGAGCTATTATGCTCTGTTCCAGTGTAAAAAGTCTTTTTGCCTCCGTGTTGGCTACATGTGCAAGTGCACAAACACACATACAAAACACCTGCATGAGACTGCGTGGCTCCTCTTCCAACCTTCAGTCAGCTTTGCTCCCTTCCCCGTGTTGATCTCCAGCCTCAGATCCCTACCTTATAATTACAGGTTTCAACATTTGGACCTCAAATCCACGTCTCCTTGGCCAACTGTTCGCACTCAGCGCAGTACCTACTGCCTCCCTCCAACACGAGTGCTAGGCTCTTGGTGTCCTGGACTTGACTCTGCCCCCAGCACAAAAAGGGCAAGTCTTGACTCTGTGTGAGGCCATTTGGAGCAGAGATGGCTGGAGAAGTGAGATCTGATGCTAATTGCAGACAAAAGTCACTGCCGGTCCTATAGTGCTCACTGTCTATATATAGGTGCTTACTGCAGAGGAGGGAAGGATGTTCCCGCAGAAAGCTGAGAGTTGCCACTGCATGCCACTTTGAAGTATCTTATACACCACTCATCTTTGGTACTACAACTTGGAAATATCTGAGTTAATAACTAAGTGATTTACAAGGTCTTATTAATATGACAGACTAAAGTGACTGACAGAGCTGTTACAGTCAAATTAAACATTTAACTTTTTGGCAAATAGCTAACCAGGACTGTATACACTAAGCAGCAGAAACATCTTCTAAAGAGGTATAGTTGGATGCTACCGGTACTGCTCTGTCAAAAATCTCTCTGTAGATCTCTCGCATTTCTGCAGTGCAGTGGACCATATGTTGATCCAGAAGGACTGCACCAAGTTGTGCCGCTGGAATAAATTATAAATATTTAAAAAATTAGTGAACGTATACCAGATGCATTAATCCAACTGTGAAACAGTTCTGTCCTGTAAACAAAGCTCACTTTTTATCATTAAATGACCATAAAATGGATTTAAATCATCAGCCAAAAGCAATTCAGAAAATAACTCTCATTTTCGAAGTGTGCTCACCAAATGAGATGCTTTGCCCATACACACAACCAGGTTAAGCAGGGGCAAATATGTATGAGCTGAATGTTATTTGTATTATGGTAAAACTTGGAGCTGTTTTGAGATCAAGACCCCTTTATTTGAATAACAAGAAAGTCTCCACCTTGGAGAATTTACAGATCAAACAGATAAGTTTTCAAAAAAGAAAAAAAAAAAAAGGGAATGTCTTTTGAATCGGGGAAAGCAGCTGCATTGAAAATATGGAGTGACCTTTGCATGGTTCACAGTTGTCTGGCAGGAGAGCTGGGAATGCAATTCCAAGGCTCCTAAATTTCCAATCCAGTATCCTGTCATCCAGAACATAAATATTTGTATTACTACCATACCAGCAATCTATTATTACCATTTGTTTATTGCAGCGCACAGACTGTGAAAGGGACTTTCCAAAGAAATTTGTACAGTGGAATTTTGGTCCTGAAGCAAAGCCGCAGGCAGAGGCAAAAGGTCTGTCTCCCGTGCGACCCCGCTCGCTCCTCCGCCGGTCCTCCTCCACAGTCATTCTGTGGGAAGCAGATGGGATAAGGGTGAGATGGTTTAATCAGACACTCAAATAATTGGTCTACACTACCAGTCCAAATGTTTTAAAAAATCTCAATTAGTTACATCCAAAAAAAAAAATCACTTTTTAAATTACGACCATGTCTGAATTCTTTGAACTTGTCATGCGCTGACATGCTTGCCACATGCTCAGCTAGGAGTTATTTGTGTGTTCATTCTTTTCTACCATGAGGTCCAGAAAACGATTATATAAATGTAAGCTAAATTCAGATTCAAGGACCTAAAGTTTAATGAAAGATAATAAAATATTGTCAATATTGTCATATAACTAGGAAAAATGGCACTGCTGAAACTTCTGGGGTGGTATTTAGCATGCTCACTGAGACAGTTGGGTGTTGAAATGCACTTTTCTATATGTGAGCTAGCTGTTTCAGCTCTCATTACAGTCTCTGGACATCTGTTTAATGCAGTCAGTGGATACTGGAAAGCTGTTCAGCCGTGCGCTATGAATGTCTGCTTTGGGGTGAAGCGAATTGGTTTCTAGACGCTGTATTGACTAGACCTCCGTTAAAGCAGGAGGTTAGACACCTAGCAGGTGCATAGACACCTGAATGGCGACAGGCAGTGTTAGACATCTTTATCCATAAACTTAATCCCACCTCACCTGCCAAAACGTACTCCAAGCTGTGCACATAACTCACCCGCACAAGTATGGGGAAGGGGAAATTGATAACGATGGGAAATTGAGATGTTCAGAGGTGATCAAGACGGCCTAAGTCATTTGCAAAATCAAAACATACGTAGTTTCTACCATTTCTTCTAATTCCTAGTATCACTGAGGAACGACTGTGGAAATGGGGAATGTGTTGTGTTTAATCTGGTTTGAGCTTTATCAACAGCAGGCTTAATTAAGATCCGGCGACGGAGTCCCTCACTGGAAGCGATATAGCAGTCAGAAGGAGCACAGTTTGGCACTCCTGAATGAATGTGTCAATCTGGCGCCTTCCTGTGCACAACAGAAACACGTTTATCCTGGAGATAACTGAGTGGTAATAAAATGGAGCCCAATATGCTTTGAAGGGTGCTTTCTGGAGTCAAAACATATTTGTTTTATTACTGTTTGTAAAGAATTATGAAAATCTACAGAAATGGTGCTAAAATAGTTGTGCATTTTGTAGGGATTAGTGATTAATTTTGAACTTCCTGGCTCTTCCCTGTTAGGCATCATTTTAAACATACATTTAAGTGATTAATTAATTACCATAATCTCAGCATCCATACATCACTTTGCTATGCGTTGATCTGATCAATTTTACGCTCTGAAGTAAATTACACCTATTCCTAAACAACACTTTTAATACGTGTTAAGAATAAGGGACTGACACTATTCTAATTTTTACTTCTACATACTAATTATATTTGTTCAGCTCGAGTTTGAATGGCTGTCTATGATTAAAAGATGAATTACTCCCGGATATTTTGGGGGCGGGATGGGAGGGAAGGGAGTGGGAACAAAGGGGAGTTACAAAAGGAGAATCTGATAAACAGCAAGACTAAATTCCCCACGTCTTTTCAAAGGGCTGAACCCAGAAGGTGTCTTGCTGGACCAGACGGAGCTCAACGGGTAGCATGGGTTCCTGCCTGCTGCATTTGGTGTTGCTGCGCAGACAGAAGAAGCAGGCACCATCCACCGAATAATGACACCAGCGGATGAATTTAGCAAGCAGAGAAACTGTGGCTGCTTCGAAGCGACAGGGCGGACACAGCTCCTTTCTCACACTTAACCCAGCGTTTCCATCTCTTCCTCTCTGCAGCTGGCTGAGCAGACACGCTCCCGAGTTTCCTTCCAGGTGCTTTCCTTATGAGCTCTGCCGTGACCAAGAAACGCTCACACTGCTGGTCGAGCCCGCAGCTCTGCTCTAACGGGCTCCTGAGATGGCCAGCTGACCCCAGCACTCCTGCAATTTCTTATGCCCAGCATGTCCAGAGCTGAGCAGCCAACAGAGGTTAAAACCAGAATAGTAGAAAGATTTGTGAATACTGCCGGACAAAACGCAAAATCCAAAAAAAAAAACAAAAAAAAAACAAACCCCACAGGTCAGCCTTGACTTTACATTTGAAATCAGGAGAATCCTTAAGCACGGGAATCTTGCAGAATATGTCTCAGTCCTGGAATGAAAATAGTGGCTGATTTTATATGGGTTACAGCGCCAGTACTGGTTTTCTATAAATAACTCACAGTTGTCATTTGAATTACAGTCTTCTGCAAATAAGGGGGCTGCAGGCATACCCAGAAGCCTGTTAACAAGGAGATGACAAGCTTCAGGCATCTAATTGCTTTAGCTCATCACCAGTAAGACACTAGCAGCCCTACAGCTAATCTAACCAGCAATTGACTGGAAATTGAATGTAGACCGGGAGAGCTATATCACTGACTTCAAAAGCCTGTCCACTTCCAAAAAGAAACCTCAACCCTCTGTCTATCTGTTCAGCCAGCTGCTATGCAAGAAAGCCAATAGCTTTTATGAATTTTCTTAGCACTTTTTCCTTAGCACCTGATGTCTGCAGAGAGCAGTCCAAGTATATGAAGCTAATTGCATTTCCAAATGTGATGCAGTCACAGATAATTAAAAAATCTTCTAAAACCAAAGCAAAACCATCCCCAGAGCTCAGCCTCCAATTTGGTGAAGCAGAATAAGGTAACAGGACCATGGATGTATAATCTAATGTTTTGCTGCGTTATAGTGGCTCTAGCAAGGTGCACTGCATAACCGCTGAGGTTATGTAACTGTGTCATGCAGGACTGACATTTCAAGGCATGTGCTCTTTTTTTGTGCTCCTTTCTTTTTTTTTTTTTTTCAGAAGAGCTCTCTAAAACATTATCCTGAAGCTACGGATCTTAAGAACTGATTTAATCTTTCTTCTTGCCCAGATGCGTTAGAGATTCTGTGAAGCCAAAAAGGGGAGGACATGGGACAAGGAGAAAGGGCAAATAACTTTCTTATTTTCATGTACTGATGGAGGAGAGCCAAGTCCACAACTTCAGCCCTGTCTGTTGTCAGGCCTTGTTACTACCCTGCTGGGTTTTCTCCCCACCAGTGTGCCCTGCCCAGCGGAGCTGGTAGGGGAGGGAAGGAAGGCAAAGACAACTCTGCAGAGGGAGGTTGTGTGCCCGTTCCCCACCAAACCGTGGGAGCCAGCCTGCTTCTGCTTCCCCTGCAACTGGGAAACCACGGAGGAGTTACAATGCTTATGCACATATCCAGTTCTAGTTCTGTGTTTAACATAGTTCCATCACTTAGGAGGTCAAACCCATGCGCAGACTTCCTGGTGTGCCATGGATGTTGTGGTTTGCAAAATGAGAGCCAGGAATCCTGGTGAAAGCAAGTAACATGAGATGCTTTATGACGGGTTTTTCACATGGCCTAAAGAAACCATTCTTTTGTTTCGGATATCTTGACAGGCTGGGAACTCCATAATGCGGATGCAAATTTAATTTAGGTGCCTCCAGGGCTAGGCAGCACTGGAAAATAGATTGTGCTCTGTAGGATCTGGGCACCTGCATTCTGCCCAAGTGTCTATTCTATGCTTCCAAGTAGGTGCTGCAATGTTCCCCTCTCTCTCAGCTGAAGTATGACATGTATCACTAGATAAATCACATGGCATGAGCTAGTTTCCACAACTGGATGTGGGCAGATATAGCACAGTCAGGTATGCACTCACGTTTCTGATGTGGCAGGTGTAAATGACATGGATGCGGCTTCAGAAGTGGCTCTCCAAAAATATCGCCACTGTGATATTCTTATGTGAGCAGAAAGGTAGAAAGAGAGAGGCACAGAGTGGTGAGGGCATGTCCGAACAAATTTATTCATGACCTGCTTGTGCTCTCTTGTGAATGTCATTGGGATTACTTAGGGAACTACTATATCACTCAGAGAAGTACTGCCCTACTCCTTGCCAGTGTTTTAATGCAATAGTATCCTCATGCCCAAAGCATTTGGTGCTGAAAATGTTACCTGGTTTGAAAGTTTTGAAGATAAATCCTGCAGATAAACTATCATGAAGATAAATCTTGCAAGTTCCCTTTTACCCGGAGTAGGAATTTCCTTCAGTCTAATCCCACTGTCCTGGAAATCGCCTCCCTCCATAGTCATTTAATGCTTTCCTCGTTTCCTGCTGTAAGTATGAGATTGGGCAGCAGTATACTAAGCACACGTCCAAATTAAAGCACGTAAGTTGTCCTGCTGAAATGAAATGGACTTTTCAAACCCTTCATGCTATGTGCTTTACTGGCCCTGAACCATGAAGGTGTTAGGACTACTTACAAGCATAAGCATTTGCAGGATCATTCTCTTAGTCCGCATCTTCCTAGCACCAGCTTTCTCACAAAAAGCCGCTTATTTGATGTGCTATTTTCCTACCACTGCACTATCCTGAAAGCTCAGGGAAATTATGCTACAAACTCATTAAAATCCTTTGTTGCTTTCAGTGACCACATAAGCCTTGCTCTCTATTCACAGTGCGGAGCTAAAATGGTAAACATTCTGCTTCAAAGAAATTAAGATATGTAAACACATTCATTCCCATCACCAGGCTTAGCCTGTGAACCCAAAGAACATTTCTACATCAATAGGACTGCACAGTTGTATGCTTTTCTTTCCAGCAGCACAAACTTCGGTTCTATCATTTTCATCATTCTCAAATACACGCAGATATCCAGCACAATGCATTTGGCACACTACGCTGCTTAGAGAACCATTGTTAGTTTCCACTCCGAGCAACTGCAGCTTTTTATAAAAATGGAAGGACACTATAGAAACCGGCAAATGTTTAGAAACAATGGCTACGGTCAAAAAGACTTTGAGATATATATATAAAAAAATCTTATATTTAGCAAATGATTCACTTGCTGGCAGAAAAGTCTCAGAGACCTAAGAAAGCAAGAACCATTCTTTCTTTCTAGTAGGCTTCAATGGACAAAAAAAGAAAAGCTTCCTTCAGGATTTTTAAGTTGCTAATACGAAGTGTTTGAATGTCCATTGTAATTTGAACAAATGTCTTATTGTCTAAATAAAACAGACTCCACAAGAAACTCTTCCTCTAACATGGATTTTTCAGGTACTGAAGGTGTTTTTTTTGCTCTTCTTGGCTGTATGTGTTGTCCTTCTTTTAATATTAATACTGACACTTCTCCATTAACCCTTTAGGGGCTTGTGACACTGGATACAAAGACTCCAT